AATTGCCTGAACCCAGGAGACGGAGGTTGCGGTGAGCTGAGATCGCCATTGCACTCCAGCCTGGGTAACAAGAGCGAAACTCCGTCTCAAAAAAAAAAAAAAAATACAAAAATTAGCCGGGTGTGGTAGCGAGCGCCTGCAATCGCAGCTACTCAGGAGGCCGAGACAGGAGAATCGCTTGACCCCAAGAGGCAGAGGTTGCAGTGACCTGAGATGGCGTCACTGTACTCCAGCCTGAGTGACAGAGGGAGACTCCATCAAAGAAAGAAAGAGAGAGAGGAGGGAGGAGGGAGGGAGGAAGGAAGGAAGGCAGCAAGGAAGCAAGGAAGGAAGGAGAGAAAAAAAAGAACAGAAAAAGTGAGTCTGCATCTCACTGTTTATGTAACTTTGAGCAAGGCACTTCACCTCTCTGAGCTTCTGAGTGGGTGTGAGAATGAAGAAAACCACAAGATGAAGAGGCCAGCGGTGTGCCTTGTTCATAACAGAGGCTCAGGAACAGAGGGTCCTCTCCCCGACTCCCCCAGCTACCGTCTCTTCACAGGCCTACCAAAAAGGGCTGGCTTTCTTTCCCCTTATCTGGTGACCCATTACTGTGTTGAAAATCACCTCAAAATTCGTGGCACTAATAATCATTCTTTTCCGTGTTCCTAAATTCTGTGGGTCAGTCTCAGAGGCCATGTGGGCTGCTATAACAGAATATCATACATGGGGAGGCTGATAAAACACATTCATTTCTCATGGTTCTAGGGGCTGCAAAACCCAAGATCAAAGCACTGGCAGATTTTGTGTCGAATTCTTCGTCATAGACGGCTGTCTTTTTGCTGTGTCCTCATGTGACAGAAGCAGTGAGGCAGCTCTTTGGGGCCTTTTTGTAGGGGCACTAATCCCCTATAAAAGATTATAGGTTTGATGAGAGGAGAGATGTGATCTGACTTTTGATTTTAAAGGATCCTTTTCCCTGCTTTAAATTTGAAGACAAAACTCCCAAGGGTATGAATAATGCCTTCCTAGTGCCCTCACCACCTCCCAACATCCTCTGGGGATAACTGAGAGAACCCTCAGTGAACTAGAGAGAAAACTAGGAATAGAATCTGATCCCAAGACACCTAATTGGCTCTCTGTGTACTGTCCTGGGGGATTTCAGGAAACACAATCTGTTTCTTAAAAAAAGAAAAAAAAAAAAAACTGGTTATTTGTGTCCCTTAGTCACCCTATCAGCTCTCCACGTTTTATCATCAGTAACCATGAAATTGATGTTGATTTACTTCTGTTTTGAAAAGAGAAAAAATAAGTAATTTAGAAAAAGGATGCCAGCTGAGGCCGTGTGTGTCTGTGTATACGTGAGCATACGGGCATATGGATTTTACATATGTGGACTCTGCACATGTGCCTGTGTTTATATTTGTGTGTCAATGTTGACATGTCTGAGAGTGGACACCACTGTGTGTGTCTGGGCATGTCTGTGAACACACCAGTGTGGTGTATATTCCTGGCAGCTCCCCACTTCATGCACAATAAAATCCAAGTTCTTACAATGTCATAAAAGTTCTAACCCTGGCTACATCTGTATCCTCGCTTCCTTACAGCCCATCCCCTGGGTTGCTCCACTGTGGCCAGGCTGACTTCCACGTTGTCACTGGAATACACAGGTTGAGAAAAGGGCCAGGATCGTTGACTTTACTTTTTCTAAAAATGCAGTGACTCAGGCAAGAGGCATGAGAGCATGTGGTCTATCCTGCTCATCCTCTTCAGGGCATCCTTCGGAGGGCTGTGCTCAGTCACCGACTCAGAGGCTTTGTGAAATTCTGCAGGCAAGGCCAAAAGGAGCAAACATGGATTCTTATGTTTGCTATTTTGTCTCACCTCCCTGGTGTTGGAAACTTGATGAGCATATAATTCAATGAAATCACTACCACCTATTAAGAATAAAGGGTATTAGCTGGGCTTGGTGGCTCATGCCTGTAATTTAAGAGCTTTGGGAGGCCAATGCTGGAGGACTGCTTGAAGCCAGGAGTTTGAGGCCAGCCTGGACAGCATAGCAAAACACAGTCTCTACAAAATTTTTTTTAAATGGTGGCAGGCAGCTGTAGTCCCAGCTACTAGGGAGGCTGAAACAGGAGGATCGCTTCAGCCCAGGAGTTCAAGGCTGCACTGAGCTATCATTACACCGCTGCACTCCAGCCTAGACAACAGAGCAAGACCGTCACACACACACAAAAAAGAAAAAATAATAAACGAGTACTAAGAGCATGGATAACGATAACACCAGCGATAATAAATGCAGTCGCTGGCATGCTGGTTAAACAGTACCGGCCCTGGATCCTAAACCCCGGGTTCGAATCCAGGCTTTACCACTTAGCAGCTGGGCGAGTTATTTAATTCCTGTTTAACTCCTTTAGAGGAATGAATTGGCCACGCACGTGCAGGGGGGCGGGGGGGCCAGTAAACACGCCTCGCCAGTGACCAGAGCGAAGGTTGCAGGCGTGCGTCAGCATCCCCCGCACGCTTACGCGGCCCGGGCAAGTAGGTGGAGCCACGGTGCGCTGCGGTAGGATGGACGCACGCGGGGGCGGGGCCGCGCCTGCGCAGACCCCCTGTTATGGCGGCCGCCTAGTTCCGGCCGAGAGGGTGGTCGGGTGGGACTCCAGGCTGGGCCCTGCGCTGGTAAGTACCTGGAAGAGGCAGCGGGATAGGGTAGGGTGCAGGGAACCCCTGGGCGCCGAGCCTGACTTTGAAACCCGAGCTCCCACGGATCTGAGGCCCAGATCCCTAAGGCCCGACCCCACTGTTGGCCTCTGTTTCCCCTTCTAAGCACAGGTGTTGGGGAAAGAAGTCCATGTCCTCACCTGGGTTTCCCCGTCCTGGGTCCAGGCAGCTCTCCTTCGGTTCCGAATTAAGAAGGGAGGGCAATGTCTGACCTGTGACTGCCTTTTGAGAGGGCAGTAGTTAACCCACAAGGGTGGCGTTAGGAAGGCGACAAGGGAATGAGGACGAGAAGCCCCACGGGGGACGTCCCGGAGCCCCTCATTACGACTCTGCGCGCCGTGGCCGGGCCCCCTCATTACCACCTCGACCCCAGGCCTTCACACCCTGCCCTCCGTTACCCTGCTTTTGGCCCTAAATCGTCATGGGGTCGTGCCAAATTCCAGATTGTTGAGTGAGTTGCACTTAGCAGAAAGAGGAGGAGGGAAGTTATTTTAACATAGTGATCCCAGCAAACTGCTTATTTGGGATAACTGACTGGGGACCTATAGGAAGGGAGGGCTGGCAGCGTCTCAGTCTAGCCCCCACAGCCTTAGAAGAGCCAAGAACACGTTAGCTCCTGCTGCGGGGATGAGCCTGCAGCCCTATGGAGGGTGGCGGGGCGGGTCCCCATCCGCAACCTGGGTCTCCTTTCTCAGCTCTGCCCGGTGAAGAGAGGAGCCCGAAACCCATACATACCCTGCATTCCCGGAGGGAGGCTTCCTGACTAGAGAAACTGTTACCTTTTTTTTTCCTTCCCAGCATTCACTTTAATAATTATTATATTGCTATAATTACCATCGTTGCTTATTAAACGTTTACTAGATGTCGTGAGCCCTAAAAGTGATCATTGTCTCATTTACTTCTCATACAGGCCCTGAGATAGGTTCAAGAGAGCCTCCTTATTCCCAGATAGCTGATTCTGCGGTAAGTCCCTTAAAGGGAATCTCCTTCACCTGGGACTTACCTGCAGCATACATTTCTTGGGAAGCCTGGTTGGATTGAATTTAAAAATGGAAAATTCAACTAGGGATTAAGAATTTGAGTTTTCTTTTTGTCTATAGTTAAGAAAATTTGGTGTGTAATATTATGCTTACTTTTGGAAAAAGCAAAGAACACTGATTTTTCTGGGATATAAGTTTTCCAACAAGATTGCACTGTAGGCCACGCACAGTGGTTAACACCTGTAATCTCAGTACTTTTTGAAGCCAAAGTGGGTGGATCACCTTGAGATCAGGAGTTTGAAACTAGTCTGGCCAACATAGCAAAATCCTGTCTCTACTAACAATACAAAATTACCTGGGCAGGGTGGCGTGTGCTTGCAGTCTCAATACTCAGGACACTGAGGTAGGATCGCTTGAGCCCAGGAGGCAGAGGTTGGAATGGGCCGAGATGGCGCTACTGCACTCTAGCCTGGGCAACAGAGTGAGACTGTAAAAAAAAAAAAAAATAGAAAGAAAGAAAATGCACTATAGGAAAAAAAAAAATGGCATCCTTTGGTTTGCTTTGATTTTCACAGCAATGTTAGAGAGGATCTTTTTTTCCCCCAAAACTATGTGTGAAAGTCCCCAGTTTTCCCCCAGGACATCTCTAAGTCCTGAGAAAGCTTGATCTGCCTTTGAAATGAGTGGTAGGTATAAGCTGTATTTTCTCTTCCAGAATCTGGTGTGGTTTTGCCAGTCCCATTGATGAAGAGTGTTTGCCTGAAGGTTGAGCATTTCTCCACTTTCGATGACACCATGAAATTCTGCATTTATTTGCCAGCTTCACAGACTTTCTTTACAACCCACTTGCATTTTGATGGCTTTATAATGTTGAGTAGGAAAGCCAGCATTAGGAATCATCTTTCTCCTAAAACTTTTTGTGTTGGAACAACTTTTGCTGCCCCATGGCAAACACTTAAATGTAGGAACTCCAGCCGTGTACTGGGATCATTGGGACAGCCTGAGTCATGATGACCTCGTTTTGCAGTTGAAGAAATGGAGACCCTGCAAGATCATGCCTAGGGGATATACCTACCCCGGTAGGAACAGTTCCTGCAGGCAGTCAGGGGTTATGGGCAGGTTTGGGTCAAATACCTGAAACCAACCCCAGGACAAGAAGTTTGCTGGTGTTTTATTAACACCTATTATAGACCAAGGACTCTCCCACCCAGTAGTACCACTGCATGAGAGTGTGGCTGAAGAAACAGATGCAGAAAAGTGATGTGATTTTCCTGAGATTACATAGCTAGAAGGCGAGAGACCAGGGATCCCCATGTGGGCTGTCCAGCTTCAAAGCCCATCAGAATACTGCTATTTGTTGATGCTTTTCAATGAGGGAAAACATTTGGTTGGAGGGAGATACTCCCTGTTTTTGACCACTTTGCCTCAGCCATGGTTTTCCAAGTTTTAGTTATTACTATATCACCTGCATAATTTTTCCATATCTGCATGTCATCTGTTTAGTGATCCCCTTAATTACTTTTCCTTTATATCCATTCACCTTTTTTTTGTTCAATTTTTTTTTTTTTTTTTTTTTTTTTTAGATGGGGTCTTGCTTTGTCACCCAGGCTGGAATGCAGAGTGCAGTGGGGCATTCTCAGCTCACTGCAACCTCCGCCTTTAGGGCTCGAGCAATCCTCCCACCTCAGCTCCCAAAGTAACTGGGAGTACAAGTGTGCACCACCACGCCTGGCTAATTCCACTCACCTTTTTAAATTCAGTAGCAAAGCTTTAGGCCAGGCATGGTGGCTCATGTCTATAATCCCAGCACTTTGGGAAGCTGAGGTGGGAGGATCGCTTGAGCCCAGGAATTTGAGACCAGCCTGGGAAACATAGTGAGACCCTCACCTCTACAAAAAGAAATTTTTAATGCCAAGCATGGTGGTATAGTTGTAGTCCTAACTACTAGGGAGGTTGAGGCAGGAGGCTCTCATGAGCCCAGGATTTTGAGGCTGTAGTGAGCCATGCCTGTACCACCACTGCACTACAACCTAGGCAACAGAGCAAGATCCTGTCTCTAAAAAGAATTTTTTTTTTTTTTTTTTTTTTTTTTTGAGGTGAAGTCTCACTGTGTCACCCAGGCTAGAGTGTAGTGGTGCAATCTTGGCTCACTGCAACCTCTGCCTCCCGGGTTCAAGCGATTCTCCTGCCGCAGCCTCCCGAGTAGCTGGGACTACAGGCGCATGCCACCACACCTGGCTAATCTTTTGTATTTTTGATAGAGACAAGGTTTCACCATGTTAGCCAGGATGGTCTTGATCTCCTAACCTCGTGATCTGCCCGCCTCGGCCTCCCAAAGTGCTGGGATTACAGGCGTGAGCCACCTCACCCATCCAAAGAAATTGTTAAAACGTTTAAAATAGGAAAGCTTTATAACAACAAATGATACAGGAGCAGTTTATAACAGCTTCTAGAATTAAAAAGAAAGAGTAAAGGGCCTTAATGACTAAATGTAAAACGTAAATTGTTATTGGATACTGCTTTGAGGGGAATAACCTCAAGGACTTTGAGGAAATTGACTTTAAATGCTATTCGGGAATTATTAATTATCTTACATTTGCTAATGGTCTTATGGTTATATAGGGAAATGCTCTTAGGGGACAGACAGTGAAGAATTTAGGGGCAAAATGTCATGATGTCTGCAATGTACTCTTAGCTCGAGAAGAAACCAGAGAGGGCAGGCACATGTGGCAAAATGCTGACGATCGTTGAATCTAAGCAGTATTTATATGGTTATGATATTCCCCTATATTCTTACTGTTTGAAATTTGTTTTTAAAAAAGAGAAAGTTTATCCCTACAAATGGAAATTTATATCTCTTGCTATAAATAAAAGGTTACTATGAAAGTGAATATATTAAACAACGCAATTCAATTCTAGCTGGATTCTCTTCCCTGGCCAAGTCTCTGAGACCTCCTCCCAGGGTGATGCAGAGCTACTGACTGTCTACCAGCTTGGACCTGTCTGCACTGTTTCCTCTGGGACCTGCCATACTGAGAGCCTGCTCTCGCCTCGGAGGGGCTCCTGTCCCAGGACTAAGGTGGAGCCTGGGCCATGGTGCAGCTGGCTCCTGCTGCAGCCATGGACGAAGTCACCTTTAGAAGTGATACTGTGCTGTCAGACGTCCACCTCTACACCCCAAATCATAGACACCTCATGGTGCGGCTGAACAGCGTGGGGCAGCCAGGTAAGGTCCTGGGCCCAGGTGCCCTGCAGATCCTGTTTTCGGTTTTCTCATACCCATCTTTTTTGGGGAAAATATCAGGAAGACTGGATTATGTAACTGTTATCCTCAGACTGCTTCTGAAGTGCTTTTTCCTTTATTATTTTTTTAAAAACCTTGTACTCTGCAATTTTTGTATGTGTGGGTTTGTTCTGCTTTTGTTTTGTTTGCTTTTTTTTAAAGACAGAGTCTCACTCGTCACCCAGTCTGGAGTGCAGTGGCACAGTCATGGCTCACTGCAGCCTCAAACTCCTGGACTCAAGCGATCCTCCTTCCCCTGACTCCAGAGTAGCTGAGACTACAGTCTCGCATCACCACACCTGGCTGGTTTTTATTTAGTAGAGATGGAGTCTTACTGTGTTGACCAGGCTGGTTGTAAACTCCAGGCCTGAAGCAAGCCTCCCACCTTAGCCTCTTGAGTCCCTGGGATTACAGGCGAACTGCTGCCCACCCCACTTTCGTTAAGCAAATTCCTGTGCTTTCCTGAGCACCTACTGTGTGCCTAGCCTAGGACTTGATGCTGGGAATGCAGACATGAATGAGCCAAGCTTTTCCCTGAGCAAGCCCAGGGTTCAGTGGGGAGACAGACTGCTGGGGCTCCATCTGTTCTCTGCTTTTTTTTTTTTTTTGGAGACAGAATCTCACTCTGTCACCCAGGCTGGAGTGCAGTGGCCCAATCTCGGCTCACTGCAACCTTTGCCTCCTGGGTTCAAGCGACTCTTCTGGCTCAGCCTCCTGAGGAGCTGGGATTACAGGCATCAGCCACCACACCCAGCTAATTTTTGTGTTTTTAGTAGAGACAGGGTTCCATCATGTTGGTCAGGCTGGTCTTGAACTTTTGACCTCAGGTAATCCACCCACCCCAGCCTCTCAAAGTGCTGGGATTACAGGCGTGAGCCACGGCATCTGGCCCTGTCATCTACTCTTTATCCCCACTCCCTTTACCCTAGTCCAGCCACCTCCGTTCCTGGCCTGGCTGCCTCTCTTCTCCCACTGAGTTCACTGCAGCACACCCTCCCCACTTAGCTCTGCAGCGGCTAAGGGCATCTTTTGAAAATGCAGATCAAGTCACAGCACGTCCTGAGTTAGACCTCTAGTGGCTTTCCATTGCTCTCACAATAACATCCAAGTTCCTCAACTTGGTCTGTGAGGCCAGCCGGACAAGCCTCTGCCTGTGTGCTTACCCTTATGTCATTCTCCCTTGCTCTTCTTGGCCACTCAGCTTTTTTCTATCCCTCAAACACAGGGAGAAGAGGGAAGCAATCATAAGATACAAGGTCAGGGAGGAAGCACCTACTTTCCTCCCCTCCCTGGCTCCTCAAGTATCATCTGCACAGACAGCCCCTCCCTGGCCACCCTCCCTAGCTCCAGTTACCCTGTATTAGCTTGTTATGGTCTGATGATTAATCATTCCCATTGCCCTCCTGCCCTAATTTGGATGGTACATTATACCAGAGGTCTGTAAACTACAGCCTGTGGGCCAAATCTGGCCTACAGCTATTTTTATAAAGTTTTATGACGCCACAGCCATGCCCATTCATTTCCGTGTTTTTATAGCTGCTTTTGTGCTATAACGGCAGAGTTGAAGAGTCACAACAAAGATCACAGGGCCCGCAAAGCTTAAAACTGGGTATATTTTATGAGACAGGGTCTTATTCTGTCACCCGAGCTGGAGTGCAGTGGTGTAGTCTTGACTCACTACAGCCTCAACGTCCCCAGGTTCGGGTGATGCTCCCACCTCAGCCTCCTGAGCAGCTGGGACTATAGGCACATGCTACCACACCCGGATAATTTTTTTGTAGAGAAGGGGTTTTCACCATGTCGCCCAGGCTGGTCTCAAATTCCTGGGCTCAAGAAATCCACCTGTCTTGGCTTCCCAAAATGCTGGAATTATGGGTGTGAGCCATCGTGCCCAGCCACAAAGTTTTTCATCTAATCTGTTACAGGAACAGTTTGCTTACCCCTGCCTTACATGGTTGCCATATCTTTGTCACACAGAATGCAGTTTTCCTGTATTCCTGGCAGTTAACACAGTGTGGTGTAATGATCTTGTTTAATGTTTGTTCTCCAACTTCACTCCTAAAATGTAAGCCCCTAACATAATCAGATTCTGCTTTGTACCCCCAGCACCTAGCATGGTACTTGGCACGCAGTCAGTGTTCAGTGATCAATGGATGAGTGGATGGATGTGGATGGGTGGATGGATGATTGGACAGATGCAAACACTGGCATAAGCCCAGGATGCTGTGGGAGGTTAGAGGAGAGGCCCCTGAGCTCAGTCCTGAAAGTTGTGTTGCCTTGATCAGCTCGTTTCTCTAAGCTTCAGTTTGTGGGTCTGTAAGATGACGCTGATAACACTGTCTTCACAGCAGTTGTCTTCACAGATTGAATGAGATGATGTGAACCAAGTGCCTCATAGATTCTTATGAAATGATGGCTGCTGTTGATGGTGGTCGCAGCTGAATCATCTGGGCCTTTTCTGCTGTCATTAATATATCTCTACCTGGCCTTTAAAATCTTCCATGTTGGTAATCAGATGTTCTCAAAACAGAAGAGGAAGAAAAAAGAAAACACCTTGTAATTCTCATTTTGCTTTTTGTCTTGCCTTTCAGTTTTCCTCTCCCAATTCAAGCTTCTCTGGAGCCAAGACTCTTGGACAGACTCAGGGGCCAAGGGTGGCGATCACAGAGATATTCACACAAAGGAGCCTCCTTCTGCTGAAACGAGTGGCACAGGGTCCCCGCCAGGAAGTGGCCACGGTAACGAGGGTTTCTCCCTCCAGGCCGGGGCTGACACCACTGGCCAGGAAGTGGCTGAAGCTCAACTGGACGAGGATGGGGATTTGGACGTGGTGAGGAGACCACGAGCTGCCTCTGATTCCAGCCCAGCAGGGCCTCTGAGAGACAAGGTACATCCCATGATTCTAGCGCAGGAAGAAGACGACGACATCGTGGGAGAGGAAGCACAAGGCAGCCCCCACGATATCATCAGAATAGGTAAATAGAGGTCTGGCTCACGTGTCCTTAAGGCAACTCCACAGTATCGCTGCTCAGGGCTCAGTGTGGTCTGAGCGTGGACACTGCAGGCCCAGGCAGCACAAGTTGTCAGAACCAGCTCAGGTGAGACTGGGGACGCTCTCCACCACCCCGGTCGCTCCTGCCCAGCTCACACCACAGCCTCACCCTCCTGTGTGCTTTCTTGTCTGTGCTCTGCCTCCTTTCCTAGAGTGCCTGCCTCCAGCCTCTGCTCCCTTAACATGTTCCCGTTGCCTTACAGTTCCCAGCTCAGCCACACTCCTCCAGGAAGCCTCCCTCCTGCTGCCTCCCACATGTGTGCTCTGCTCTAACTCAGCGTGTCAGGGGTGTAGGGTAGGCTTGGCCTGGCTGGGATGCCAGCAGGGTGCCATGGGAGGTTCTGGTGCTGCAGTGTGGCACAGGGAGAGGGGTGTCGGTCACAGTGAATGGGGTGTGGGCCAGTCGGATGGACTGGGAACTGGGAGCTAGAAGCCAGGTAAGACGGGAAGTGATTAAGTGGCAGGAACGGGGACAGGAGAGAGGTTTGGACAGATACCCAGAGGTGGGATCAAAGAGGAACTGCCACCCAGGTATGGGGGCAGAGGAGAGGGGTTTGCTGACTCTAGGATTTGAAATCTAGGGACCTGGCACTCTAGAAACTGGGAGCTATAGGGAGCCGGGCCAGGAAGTACTCGGTGCTGGTTAGGCACCTGCTGTGTTGTGGATATCTTCACCAGTATCGCATTGCATAGTCTGCACAGCCCTTTCTAAGGGGTGCTCGGATGAGGAAGTGACGGGCCTAGTGCCATGCAGCTTGGTGGTGGTGAGTGGGGTTCCAATCCATGCAGTCAGTGTGCACACCAGGGCTCTTGCCTCCCCTGGCGCTGCTCGTGTAGGGAGCAGAGCTGTGATTTGGGGCTGTTCATTGAGATCCGGGGTCCCTGGTAGTGTCTGAGTTCCTGGGGAAAGGCCTCCCCCAGCACTGGCCGTGGTCAGAGAATGGGGGTCAGTGGGTCACTCTGAAAAACAGACAAAACAGCAGCTCAGTATCTACCTGCTCAGCAAACAGTTAGTGAGCGACTATACAGTGCTACCAGGCAGCCTCTCTTCTAGACTATCCCAGAGAGGGCAACATGGAACTCACACCAGAACCCTGCTCAGTGTTTCCCATGGGTGACCTCTGCCCTCATGGCCTCTGCAGGAAGGGATGAGTATACATTTCACAGAGGAACAGACTGAGGCTCAGCGAGGTTGAGGAACTTGCCTGAGGTCACACAGCTAGTCAGGGACAGAGCTGAGACTCGTACCCAGGTCTGTCTGATGCCACAGCCCATGTTCTCATTCCATATCATGGGAACAGAGCATTCAACAGAGGCTTGGGAAGTCCTGTTGTTTCTCAGGGGGGCTGATGATGCCTCATTTCCCTCTGAGCCCTCACTGTATTAGCCTCCCCGAGCGCGGGAGCAACCCTGTCAGTTACTCCACAGTGAATGTTTTCTCTAGTGTGTGTACGTTGAATGTTTCGGGTATCTACCATCCTATGAGCTAAGAATAAAGTCCCTCTGGAAGGAGCTGGCCTGTGACCAGCTTCTCCACCTGCCCTGTTCCACTGACGTCACCATGAGGCCCCTTGTCTGTATACCTGGAAGTTCACTTTTTCAGCTCTCATTTGCTCCCCACCTGTCCTAAGGGAGGAGAGTGGAAAGGTAGCTAATGCGTGAACCTAGGTGGTAACTCATCATTATTTCAAACCGACTAGAGCACTTTCATCCCCAAAACTTGATCTAATCCTGCAGGGCTGGATTTTGAGCCCAGCTCCACCTTCGCAAGCCGTGACCAGAGACAAGTGTCTTATTCACTCAGAACCGTATAGGGTCAGGGGAACTACTCTCCCTGGGTTTTAGTGCCCGGTGAGTGTGAGGAGGGGGGCCTGGTGCAGAGTGGATGGTAAGCATGTCGCTCTCCTCACCACCCTTTTCCTCTGACCCATAAACCATCCCATTTATTTCAAGTTAGAGACCCATTACAGAAACTGATTTTTCTAAGGAAAAAGAAAAATATGTATTTTCTTAACTATTCCAAGGGTTTGACAAAACCTTAAAAAGTTTATCCAGGAATCTGCTAGGAATCCACACACCCAGGATTCAAAGTAAATTATGTTCAATTTCCTCTTTGTAGAGATAAACAGACCCCTTTAGAGAACTTGAGAGAGGCAGGGCTAGAACTCAGGCTGTCAGATTCTGAATCCCGTGCCTTCCTGCTGGAGAATTGGGCAAGTCGCTTAGCCTCTCAGCTCAGTTTCTTTGTCTGTACAGTGGGTACAATCTCCTCCAGTTGTGAGGAATTAAGAGGGAGGGCACATACAAAGCTCTTAGCATAGTGCCTAGCACAGATTCAGTGTTCCATAAATGTGAGCCTCAGTCTTGGGGACTGGCCCAAGCTGGGAGAATGGAGACTGGCTGAGGAAGAGTCTGGGTTCCTGTAGGTCTAGAGACACAATTTGCAAATGAGATAAGGCATAATTCTAGAATCTGATAAGGACAGGTGAGATTCTAACACTTTCTTCTCCCATTGCTAGCCCTAGAGTTTCTCATGGGTTTAGTTCCCCGTCCTGGCCTTTTATGTTCTTAAGATAGCTTTGGAATTATTTACATATAAACTGACTTTTCACAGGAGTGGGAGCCACAAGATGGCCCTGGATAGGGAGGTCCCTAAGTCACCTAGGCCTCTCTAACCCTAGACTGTGAATCCTCCCTCATCCCTACTCAGCCACCTAGACCATTCCTGGCCCAGGGCAGACATACTGGGCATTTGTTGTGATCTCTGATTATGCTGAGTCATGACGAAGCATATTTCCCCATTCAAACACTAGTGAGAGCCTGAAACAGGGCAGGGGTGGGGTGGACCTCAGAATGTCTGTACTCCAGACTCGAGAGTATCAGACACAGGAAAGGAGAGTGCCCTTGAGGTTGGCCACACTCGGCTTCCTGGGGAATTCGTTTTGGCTTTTTCCATCTGGTCCCAGAGAGCCGCACGGCATCTGCTTCTTCCTTTGATGCGTCCCTTAGCCTCTCGTTCTCTCCCCTGTCCATTCGCCTTAGGTCAGTTTTTGGTCAGACTCCCAAATGACTTCATTTTAAATCCTCTTTTGTTTCCATTTGGCTTTAGAAAAACATGGGTCTCACTTCGTTACCCAGGCTAGTCTCCAACTCCTGGCTTCAGGCGATTCTCCCACCTCAGCCTCCCAAAGTGTTGGGATGCTAGGTGTGAGCCACTATCATCCTTGACACATTATGATCTAATTAGATGTTTTTTTTCTCAGACTATAACCTTGGGCTGGTCATGTGCCCCCTCTGGGCTTCAGTGACCTCTACCTGTGCAAGTGTTGGGGGCTTTGACCATCTCAGTGGTGTTTAGATGTTTGCCAACCCTGTGCTCTCTCAGAAGCGCTGTCTGGTTAAACCCAGTTATAGCCTCACAAATGAGGGATGGTGTTGCGTCTGCATTTTGCAGAAGAGGAAACTGGCTCTGTCTTCCATAAGTGAAGTGACTCGTCACCCAACTAGGAAATGACAAAACTGGGTTCTCATGCAGGTCCCTGACCTCAGGGTCCTCATTCTCTCTTTAGGGAAGCTGGCCACCCCTTGAGAACAGCTGTGAGGCAGAACTTATGTCCATGAGACCCCTGGAAGGAAGTGACCAATCACATAGGACTGAAATCACTATGGAAAGGGTCCCCTGGCAGCAGGAGCCCTCAGGGCAACTGGGGTTAGAGAGCAGATGGTGAGGAGGGAGCTTTTCCAGCAAGATGGAGGGAGAAGAGAGGAGAGGAGAGGAGAGGAGGCTATGAGCCACACCCAGGAGATGGCGTGGGCTGGACTGGGGAAGAGGAGATGAGCAGGGACCCGGAGTACACCACAGACACCCCTTTCCCTCCATGCACAAGCACGCAAGCCTTCAGCCTGCCAAGTGAGTCCCTGTGCCTTTCATCCTGGGAGGCTCTGCCCCAAGCTTTTTAAACCATGTCCTTGGCCTAGTTCAGATTCTGTATCTCCCTTCTGCAAGCGGGCTGAAGAGCCAGAAAAGGCTGTGCACAGTGGCGCACACCTGTGATTCCACTTTGGGGGACCAAAACAGTGGATCACTTGAGCCCAGGGGTTTGTGACCAGCCCTGGCCACATCCTGAGACCCTATCTCTACAAGAACTATTAAACTAAAAAAATTTAGCCTGGCCTGGAGGCACACACCTGTAGCCCCAGCTACTCAGGAGGCTCAGGTGGCAGGATCACTTGAACCTGGGAGGTGGAGGCTACAGTGAGCCTTGGCCATGCCACCACACTCCAGCCTGGTGACAGAGCAAGACCCTGTCAAAAAGAGCCAGAAAACTGCAGACAACCTGACTTGGAACCCCGCGTCTGCCACTCACCCCCTCTGTGACCCACACAACCTGCTGACCTTCACCGCCACATTTTCCTCATCTTCAACACAACACCCCAACCTGTCATTGGGCAATTTCGTGGATTAAGTGACAAAGTTTTTAGCCCAATGCCTCACGTAGAGAAGGTGCTTTTTGTTTCTATTAACTTTACAAACAGTAATGCTGAGCTCCAGTCAGTGTCTTCATCTGTAAAATACGTGTGAGCCAGTCAAGTAGAATCCCAGTGGCACGCTGGCCTGCCTCGGAATGTGTCTAGTGAATGCTGGTTCAGTGAAGGAACTTGGCGTCACATGGCTCGGCGGGTATATTTCTGATCCAGTTTCAAACCAGGTGACTACGTGTTAGGCCACAGCAACCTGAAGCCCTTCTGAAAACATGTTTTATTAAAAGTGCCTTCGAAGCCACCATGTCACATCTAGCCAAGTTGCTGGTGGATGATGCATTAGTCACTTTATTCAGAGATAAGATTCTAACTCTGCACATAGGGCTGAAATCTTTGGCCCAATTTTCCCAGGAGGAGTCCTCAGAGAACATTGGCCCAGGTGCCCAAGAGGACCCCGCACAGTCATTTCTCTCTTGGTTTGGTGACAGACAGAACAGTTGGCTATAGCCATTACTGTCTCACTTAAAAATACTTGAGCAAGTTATTTTCCCCCCACCGGGAGCTCTTAGATGAGCAGGTTCTTATTTAACAGCAAAAGATGTTTTGCTTCATTCCTTGTCTTCATTATCTTCTTCCAACCACCAGAATTTGATCCTAATGTATTTTACACTTGAGAATACTCACTATGCTAACTTATCATACTTCTTTCACCTTTTTAAAAAAGGATGTAAATTTAAACTTAGTTTGTTAACTTCTAATGTAGAAGTTAACTATGTTTCTAAGACAATAATGAAGTTAAGTATGCTTCTAAGAAAATACTTTTGAATGAGTTGTGATTGTTAGTAGTATATAAATAAACATAATGATTATAGATTTGCAATTCTTGGCCATTGAAAAAGTAGTGCACTGCATGTGTGTGTAATTAAATTGGGTGAAAACCTGAGGCCCTCCTTAGCCTTGGGCTGTGGGCAGAGATACCCAGGTACATGAAAAAGTGTGAGCCCCAGCTCCTGGCCTCTGAGTGGTGCTCGAAAGTCACCTCCCAACTGGTAGCACAGCCTGTGTTTCTGCTGCTCTCTAGACCCCCTAATTCCAGCCTCTGACACCCATCTGACCATGCTGGCGGGTTGCCGCACAGCCCTGGCTTGTGGTTTTCTGTCCATCCCCGTTTCACAGTGGGTATTTCTCTTGGTTTCTGTCTCATCCAGAGCACACCATGGCCACGCCCCTGGAGGATGTTGGCAAGCAGGTGGGTAGGTCCCGTCCACTTCCTGTGGCCCTGACGGGTCTCCGCAGAGCCTCATGCTGCTTGTCACTCCTTGTCCTCCTCCCTCCAGGTGTGGCGGGGCGCCCTTCTCCTGGCGGACTACATCCTGTTCCGACAGGACCTCTTCCGAGGATGCACGGCGCTGGAGCTCGGGGCAGGCACCGGGTTTGCTAGCATCATCGCAGCCACTATGGCACGGACCGTTTATTGTACAGGTAACGAGGTGACATCTCAGGCTGCGGGGAAGTAGTCACCTTCACAAAGTGTGCATTGACTGTATGAAAAGGCAGAGCAGGAAACTGGCTGTTAGCTGCTGTTGATTTTGCCATCCTGGTCCCCTGGCCCTCTTCACTCTCCATTTCTTCTCAGTGACATCAGAATGACCCACCAATCTTGAGTCAGTGGCAGCAACATCACCCAACCACTCTAAGGCCATTGAGCCTCAGGAGGTACCTTGCATCCCTACTGGTACCTCTTTCCCCACTCCTGAGAAAGAGCAAATATCTCCCAAAACAGGAGGAATACGCCCTTTTAGAAGGCTTTAAAAACAAGTTTATTATTTTTTTTCCTGGTTATAGAAGCCTTGCCTGTTCTTTGTTGATTTTCAAAACAGCAAATAAAAATTAGTCATAATTTTACAATCACTAGATTGAGTCAGCAATATAGAATTTATTGGGCACCTCCTATGTGCTACACAATTCTAGGTGCAGGAGGCCTGGCAGTGAATGGAGTTGACCGGGCACTGCCCTCAGGGCAGTTATGTTGTAAGAATCTCCTCCAAATAATAGCCAAAATTAAACTACAGCAACACTGTATCCTGAAAATGTTGAGAAATATTTTTTACGAGCATTTTCTTTTTTAAATTTTTATGTATTTAGCGGGTACAAGTGCAGATTTCTTATGTGCAGCTATATTACAGTGATGACATCTGGGCTTTTAGTGGACTCATCACTCACATACTGAACCCTGTACCCAACAGGGAAGTTTTAACCCCCCACCCTTCCCACCCTGCCACCTTTTGGAGTCCCCAGTGTCTGTGAGTCCACTCAGTATGTCTATGTATACTCATTGTTTAGCTCCCACTCATGCGAGAACACTTTAAGAGCATTTTCTCATGTCATTAAAAAGTTGCTATATAGGCCGAGTGCAGTGGCTCATAGCTGCAATCCCAGCACTTTGGGAGGCCGAGGCGGGTAGATCACCTGAGGTCAGGAGTTTGAGACACCCTGGCCAACACGGAGAAACCCTGTCCCTACTAAAAATCCAAAAATTAGTCAGGCATGGTGGTGGCAGGCGCCTGTAATCCCAGCTGCTGGGAGGCTTGAACCCAGAAGCGGAGGTTGCAGTGAGCTGAGCCTACACTACTGCACTCCAGCCCAGTCAACAGAGCAAGACTGTCTCAAAAGGAAAAAAGTGTGTATGTGTGTGTCTCTTTTAATGACCAGGTAATATTTCATCTTTTTTGTAACCCTTCTATTGCTGAGTATTTTGGCCATTCCTGTAGGGTTTCTATTTGTGTTTGTCAGTTAGACTGTAATGAACATCTTTGTATATTGTCTAATAATCTGTCAAATAGGTTCGTAGAAGTGGGTGGTGTTAGTTACACTGCAGTGAACATCTTTGTGTATTGTCTAATAACCTGTTGCCTAGGTTTCTAGAAGTGGGTGAGACTATTAAAGCTTTTGATACACATTACCAACTAATTTCTTTTTTAGTACTTAATTTTGAAATAATTTCAGACTCATAGAGGAGTTGTTAAAGTAATCCAGCAAGTGCCATGTCCCCTTCCTCTGGCTCCCCAATAGTGACATCGCACACAACCATGGTACAGTGATCTGTACCATGCCATCTATTTTAAATCTTTAATATCTGCTGTACAGAAAGAGGCACCAGCTGACGTGGTTTATACCTCGTTGCTTCCTAGTGAATGTTTCTGGCACAGACTGTTGTTTCTGAGATAGGAAGGAAGAAGCTAGAGCTCACCAGTCCCTGAGGCAGTTTTCAAATATACCAAATTAACCACTGGTCAGGAATCCACAGTGCAGCCATGCTATTGGCTGCTTCTTGACAATGTCGTGTAAATTATCAGTGAGCACTTCTCAGCGCCAAGCCATCCAAGAGCTTTGCTTCATGCCTGGTGCCTAATAGCAGGATATAAAGAACTCATCCCTGAGAGAGATTTAGCAGCATGGGGAAGAAAGTTTGCATTTAGATGCCATGTTCCGGTTGGAAAAGTCCTTTCAGATGCATCAGTGCCTGGCTGTCACTTCACAGTGACCCTGGGCAGAGCCAGGAAGCCTGTTCCTATCTCTGTTGTCCAAATGGGCAGACTGAGGCTAAGGTTAAACTGCTGGCCCAAGGTCATCCACAGTTGCTGACGAGACTGAGGCTCTCGATGTGGACCTGTGGGCTCACAGGGCAGTGCCCTTTTCAGGTGGTGGGATTTCAGATTGTGTTTCATGGAGCAGAGCGCCCGTGAACTGGCCAAGTGTTGCTGGGGAAACTGCACTCAGGACACTGGGGCTCCTGCCCCACTCAGCCAGAGCTGCTCCTCTCTTACCTGTTTTATGTGTTAGAAGCTTCTGACAGAAACTATCATAAAGGTTTAAAAACTGCTGAGCCTGGCCAGGCACGGTGGCTCATACTTGTAATCCCAGCAGTTTGAGAAGCGGAGGCTGGTGGGTCACCTGAGGTCAGGAGTTCGAAACCAGCTTGGCCAACATGGTGAAATACCATCTGTACTTTAAAAAAAAAAAAAAAAAAAAAAAAAAAGGGCAGGCATGGTGGTGCACGCCTATAATCCCAGCTACTTGGGAGGCTGAGGCAGGAGAATTGCCTGAACCCAGAAGGTGGAGGTTGCAGTGAGCCAAAATCCCACCACTCTACTCCAGCTTTGGCAACAAGAGCAAAACTCCATTTCAAAAAAAAAGAATCAAAGAAAAAAAAAAACTGCCGAGCCCATCGTGTGCTGTCGGGCACACACCATCAATATTCTCTTGACCTAGGAGACGGTAGATCCTTCCCTTCTGCGAGCAGGGAGCTGCTCTCTACATGGCTCTGTGTGACCCCTGGGGTGCAGACTCTAGTCCCAGCGAGTTTACAGTTGATGGGGGAGTCCACGCCGACAGTGGACCAAGCAAATGCCATTAACAAGACATCCTGTACTTCCTACACACACATTTTTCTAATTAGAAATTTATTTTTGGTAAAGCACTGCTTCCCTCAGTGAGGATTCACTGTACTATAAGTCAGTTCTTGAAATGATGAGAAATCCCACTCATCAGAGTAGCATGCGGCTGGGAAGGAGATCTGGGCAGCAGCAAAGTGAGTCACACTCGAGAGTGGGCTCAGCCTCTTTGAATCTGCTCTGTGTCCTGATGAATCATAAGAAAACATCCTTCTGACCAGAAAACTGGTCCAGTCAGTTTTCCTAGGGTGTCCACGAACGAGCCTAAATTTGAAGTTAGAAAAACCTGGATTCAAATCCCAGCTCTTGCTCTTACTAGCTATATGACTTTGCTCAAGTCACTTAATCCATGAAGTGGGATTCATGATCCTGGCTCCTGTGTGGTTATAAAAATGAAAAGGATGAAGCAGGGAAAATGCATGCATGGTTTATACCCTGGGACCATGTTGGGAGCTCGCACTCCTTCCCTCTAGAATGCACGCTGTCTCTCCCCATCAGGATGAGAATCTCTTATTTAGGGAACGAGCCAATGAAAAGAGCCTTAAGGTGAGCATATTTAATTTTGGCAGTAAGACACACAGGAGAAACGTTTCTCTAATTTCTGCAGTTGTGCTATTGATAACAGTTCTCTCCAGGCAAAAACGTGGAGATAAAAGCATCATAACAGCCAGCACTTTATGGCTTGCCCTCTGTCATTCCAGATGTCGGTGCAGATCTCTTGGCCATGTGCCAGCGAAACATTGCCCTCAACAGCCACCTGGCTGCCGCTGGAGGTGAGGCCCACAGGGTCTTCTGCCGGGGAGGGAGGTTTCTCTGGCAGGTGGGACAGACACCCAAGACCATGACATTGGGAGGCAGGGCTCCACCTGTGTCCCTTGTACCAGGTGCGTAAAGGGAGCAGACATCATCTGGGCTTCACAGAGCTTCAGAGCATCGAAGGCTCTCCTTGAGTCACCTCCTCATTCCCACATTCACCGCGTCATCCTGTTCCAGCTCTTTCTCTCCCGGACACTGGAAGTGGCCCCCCAGCTAGTTTCCCCAGCTTCTTTTTGGACCTGGGCAAGCTGTCCTCATGTAACATCCAGAGTGACCTTTCTCAGATGCAAGCCTGTCTCCTCTTCCTGCTGAAAACCTTCCAGGGCGTCATCACCCATGGAATTCCCAGACCTCCCTGGCCCAGCCCCTGCCTGCTCTCCCTGCCTTTTCCTGTCTCCTGTCCAGGCCCTGCATCCAGCACGGCCAGAGGTCACTCACTTCACAGGCTCCTCCCTCTGCCCGGATGGACCCCCACCCCCATCTGCCTGGTCATCTCCCTGCACGGCCTGCAGGAATGAGTGTATGTGATGGGTGACGACAGTTATGTCCTAACTGGGCTGTCCAGCCTTTCTTCCTCCGAGCAACCTCACAGGCTTCAAGCGCTTCAGTGGTTTCCCGATGCTCATCTCGTCTTCTGGGGGATCTGACCCCTGCCTATCTACAGCCTCCCCCGCCCAGCCATCCTCACCATCTTTCAGATCACTTTCCTTCAAGTCCTCTGCCTTTGCTCTTCCCTGCCCCTGAGTGCTCTGCCCTCCCTCCTCCTCCCGGCAAGTCCTCATCATGCTCAGGGCTCCAGACCTCCAGATTTGAGGCCAGGGCCCCCAGCAGACTCCAGGAACACCTTACACAATTGTGTTTTAACTTCTGCTTGTGTGACTGATGGTGTTTTCCATTCCCACCAGACTACATGTTGGTGCAGGTGCCCCATCTGTGTTTGCTCTCCACTGTCACAATATTTGTTGAGTGCTCAGGGTACAGTAGGCAGTCAGCAGAGATTGGGAGGAGGGAGGGAGCATGCTGGTGGACGCCTTCCCTGACACCTACTGTCTGACATGATTTCCTCTCTGTCCTCCTGTGCATTGGCCTCATCCTGCAGACATCACCCAGCCACACAGTCTTGCCATTGTCAGTTAACCCTCCAGTCTTCCCTAGGGGAGCTGGTCCATAAGGATGGGGAGCATGGCTCTTAAATCTTTATTTTTTCTGTGTCTGACATAGTCCTTGACACTTAGCACTCAAAAAATGCTGGAAGGATGGACAGATGAATGGAGGGAAGGGACAGAGGGTAGATGATGGATGAGAAGGAAGGAGGGAGGATAACAAGGATGGGCAGGTGGATGGGTGAGAGGGTAAAGGCTAGAAAGATGAGTACATGAGACGGTGCATGGGTGGGAAGATGGATGGGAAGGAAGGAAAGAGGGAAGGAAGATGGGTAGGTATATGGATGAATAGATGGAAGGACAGGAAGACGGGCAGACGGACGGATGGATGGATGGATGGATGGATGGATGGATGGGTGGATAGATGGATAGATGGATAGATGGAAGGGCAGGAAGATGGACGATGGATGGATGGATGGATGGATGGATAGATGGAAGAGTAGGAAGATGGATGGGCAGGAAGATGGACAGATGGATAGATGGAAGGGCAGGAAGATGGATGGATGGATGGGTGGAAAGACAGGAAGATGGATGGATGGATGGATGGATGGATGGTTAGATGGATAGATGGAAGGGCAGGAAGATGGGCGGGTGGGTGGATGGATGGGTGGGAAGATGGATGAGAGAAAAGGTGGGTGGGTGGATAGATGGATCTTGGTATATAGTGTAAAAGTTTGTCTTTTTTCCTAATTATGTTTAGAGTTTGGAGGGTTCTCTTTGTGTTGTTTTTACAGGTGGTGTAGTTAAGGTCAAAGAACTGGACTGGCTGAAGGACGACCTCTGCACAGGTGTGTTTCCCTCTGGCGTCCCTCAGTATGAGTTAGTGATTCCTTTGTAATACCTCAGTCCCGGCTCTGTGGCCTTGATGGAGCTGTAGCCCCACCTGCTACCGCCGTCCCACCAGTGTGTGGCAGGTTCTCTCCACTGGCCGATGGCATCAGCTGTCATTCTCTGCGCGCCTGCCGCATGCTGGGAACCTCATATTCACTTTGATCTTCAGGTCTTGTGGTTTTTCTGTATGGTAGCATGATAGTCCCTGAATCGTGAGTGCAGACTACCCACGGGCACAGCTGGTACGCAGCAGGGTAGGGGCATGGACCTGAGTTTGTCAGACTCTGGGGCACGGACCGTTTCCCAGCAAACGGCAGTTCCGGGAAGCCCCCAGGGTAAGAGAATTTCCCGTATTTCTTACACAGGGTACTTCAGACCTGGGTGCTTGCTCTTTCTTTATATAAAGATGTCTTTTTTTTCCCCTGTCCGATGGCAGCTGGGGAAAGTCATTTCTTGAGTACCGGTCACCTGCCTAGCACTTTGCCCATCACAGGCCCTTCGGCTCTCCCAGTAGTCCTGTGACGGAAGTAGTACTGTGCTCTTTCTGTAAGGGCGAAACTGAAGCTGTTTTCCTTGGCCACCCAGCAGGCAGATGGGGCAGATTAGGTCCTGCACTGGGCGACAGGCCAAGGCAGCAGGTGAGGCTGAAATCCAACTGCTGCTCACTGGCCAGAGTGGACACTCAGCAGAAAAGGCATCTCCTCCACCATTATTCTGCACCCAGGCAGCGGTGGCCTGAAGCAGGGAATCCTGTCTGCCTGACGGTGCCTACCGCACTGAGCTACCCCCAGCCCTGTTTCTTCTCCTGAAGGGACTTTTTGTCAGTCCCAGTGAGAGCTGGTGGCCAGGAGACAAAGCGATGGACACAAAATGTGCTTTTCTTCTTTGTCAGATCCTGAGGTCCCCTTCAGTTGGTCACAAGAGGAAATTTCTGACTTGTACGATCACACCACCATCCTCTTGGCAGCCGAAGGTAAGAAAATTTCTCCTTCGCCTTACATGGCCTTTGTCACAGCATGAAGTCAAGTACAGTCTCCTCACCTCCCCCCGAGTTCAGTTTTATAAGAGACTTTCCGGGACATGCCACCATGTCTGTGTGCGGCTTTCATTCTTGGAGCTGCTGCTGTTGGGCGGTGAGAAGCATTTTCTCTGTGTGTGTATCTCCCTGAAAAGTCGATTTCTCTAATATTTGCATGCTTTCCCCTAATGCTGGCCTTTTTGCTTCCCACAGTGTTTTACGACGACGACTTGACTGATGCTGTGTTTAAAACACTCTCCCGACTTGCCCATAGATTGAAAAATGCCTGCACAGCCATCCTGTCGGTGGAGAAGAGGTGAGCTTTGCGCCATGGGGACCGCGCTGGCATCCCATGTATCAGCGGAACTCTCACCTCCTAATTGCGTCCTTCTCAGTGTCCTCATGATTGTTACTCATTGCCACTTCTTGAGCACCTAGTGTGTGCCAGGCCTGTTACTCAGTGCTACTTTTGAGCACCTACTGTGTGCCATGCCTGTGCTCCTCCTCTGTGTCCGTTACCGCACTGACTCTGCATGCTAGCCCTGTGTGCAGGCACTGTTGTCCCTTTACAGATGAAGAGAGGAAGGCTGGGAAACATCAGGGCCCTTGCCCAGGGCACAGCTAGTTAGCGATAGACCATCACTTGAATGCCGACTGCACTGAGCCTCAGCGCTTGGCCAGCACACTGTCTAGAGCTTCTCTTCCTGAATGTTCTCGCTCTTTGTGGTGCCGTCTGTCTCTTCAGCTCCCCCAGGTCTCCTTCTCTTACTGATGCAGACAGCTCTTTACCCAACAGCCTCTCCAAGACATTTCCACTTGATATCCTAAAATGTTTGGTTCCGTTTATTGAGTGCCCACCTTGTGATAGCTACACACATTTTCCTCTAATACCTAAGAGTAGTCCACAGCTTTTCTGAAGATAGTTTGTAATCCATAGCAAAAGCTGTGAAACTAAAGAGACTTCTTCACCCAGCAGTTCAGCATGTGGAAATTCACCCTGTGGAAATGCTCATGGTTATGTACAAAACTGTATGTACTTGCACATTTATTGCAGTATTGTTTATACCAGTAATACCGAGCACTTGCTTTGAGGCACACATTGAGTCATAGCAATGTACAGACCTCATTTGGATCCTGATTTTATAAACTGTAAAGGAAAAACATCGGACAGTTGGGAAAAGTTGGATACTGAATATTTGATGTAAAAGGATTATTGTTAAACTTTAGTTGAAAAGGTCTCCACCTTTTTGAGACACACACTGACATTTGCAACTTCATAAAGGAAATGGGATGATGTCTGGCATTTGCTGTTTAATAATTCAGTGGAGGGAGGGGGACCCGGGAAGCGCCAAGGTGGCAGAGTGGCTGAAAGTGGACAGTGGCTGAAGCTGGGAATGGGTTCATTAGACTGTTCTTTTTTTCTTTTCGGATGCGGAGTCTCACTTTGTTGCCCAGGCTGGAGTGCAGTGGCGCAATCTCAGCTCACCGCAGGCTCTGCCTTCCAGGTTCAAGCAACTCTCCTGCCTCAGCCTCCCGAGTAGCTGGAATTACAGGTGTGTGCTGCCATGCCTGGCTAATTTTTGTATTTTAAGTAGAGACGGGGTTTTACCATGTTGGCCAGGCTGGTCTCAAACTCCTGACCTCAGGTGATCTGCCTGCCTCAGCCTCTGTCAGTGCTGGGATTACAGGCAGGAGCCATCGCGCCCAGCATAGATTGTTCTTACTCCTTTTACATGTCTGAAATTTTTCTTAATAAAAAATTTTGTAAAGAAAAAGGAAAAGAGCTTGAATTTGAAGTTAAGTCATCTTGTAGACTGAGGTTTTGAAAGGCAGGTGGCAGGGTTGGGAGGCCTGTTTCTGAAAGCACTCGATCTCTGAAATCTCTCAGACCGCCAACTGTCCGGCAGTTTTATCTCTGTTCTCTGTGCTCTCAGAGTCGTCTGTACCGCCCACTGCCACGCCTCTCATTCATTCATTTCACAAATAATTACACAACAGCTCCATGCACTGGATTCTGTGCTGGGTGCAGCCAGGACATGGAGAGCTGTCCTCAAGTGTGAATCTTACACCATCTGCCTCTTACACCAGTCCTAGCTCCTCAGAGGAGCTTTATCTTTATCTTTCCCGTGACGTCATTGTGGATACATGACTTCAGCGTTGTGAGCCTCAATTTCCACATCTATAAAGGGTGAGCCGTTTCCACCTCCCAGGCTATTATGCAGCTATAGGAAGGAATTGTCCTCAAACACGCAGCATGAGACAGGCACTCAGTAAAAGTCCATCCAGGGGATATGAGATCAGTGAGAGACAGGAAAGACACATGGGCGGAAACAGCAAAACCCTTCCCGGTGATGACGGCAGTTTGTGTGTTGGCTGGCTGGTTTCCAGGCTCAACTTCACACTGAGACACTTGGACGTCACGTGTGAAGCGTACGATCACTTCCGCTCCTGCCTGCGTGCACTGGAGCAGCTCAGGGATGGCAACCTGCACTTCGTGGTGGAGCCCGTAGAGGCCTCCTTCCCGCAGCTCCTGGTTTACGAGCGCATCCGGCAGCTGGTAGGTCTGGGCCCCCTAAGCAGGGCTGTTGGTTGCTTTATAGTGAAGCAGGTGACTCCTGGGCAAAGGAGGTGATGAAGCAAACCCTCCAAGCTTAGGCCCCACCCTGGGTCCTGCAGGGTGTGAATGAAGCCTGCATGCCGGGCACCGTCTATAGTGGAACCGATTGAAGGAGCTGCATTCTGTTCTTAGCAGCCACCGTGTCTGGAGGTGGGCCTATGGGCGAACCTTAACTTTATTCTTTAAAGCACACTTTCCCCCATAGGCAGCTCAGACTCCAGGGGAGGCAAGACTGAGGCAGAGGTTGTTTGGGGAACAGAAAGTCAGTGGAGAGGAAGTTGGTGGGTTCCAGATCTTGGTGCAGGGGCCCTGCTGTGGTAGGTGCTGGTCACATCTTCAGTGTGGATGTATACCAGCCTCTTGGTCTGAACAGGCTTTTCTGTTACTGGAGTGCAAAGATTGAGAATTAACTTCTTTTTTTCTGTTTGCCTTTTGCCTGTGGCCTCCCTTTCTCCGTGTCTTCAGAGACTGAGGCCTAGTTCTAAGGAAAAAGGGAGGAAGGGAGTCGTGAGGGGCTGCCACCCTGGTGCTCTGCCTCGTGTCCTGAGCAAGGGCAGCATGGAATTCGTGTGGTTTTGTGTGCGAGGGGGATCTTGTATTTATTGCTCTGCCGCTTCTGGGCAGCAGTAAGAGTAGCATCACATGAGCAAGAACACACACTTCTTACAAATCAGCAGCCCCAGTACATGATGCCTAAGATGTCCCAAAAAGGCCAGATGTGGTGGTTCCCACCTATAATCCCAGGACTCTGGGAGGCTGAGGTCGGAGGGTTGCCGGAGGCCAGGAGTTCGAGACCAGCCTGGGCAACATAGATCCCATCTCTTCAANTCTGGCCTGAGCAACAGAGAGAGAGATCCTATCTCCAATAAAGGAAAAAAGCACCAGGCCTCAGCCCAGGACCTACCTGATTCCGAATCTGCATCTTGACAGGACACCAGGTGATGTGTTTGAATAGTAGTTTGGGAAGCTCTGGGGCCTACCACATAACCCTATTGCCCCAGCCTATTGCTGTTTTCTAAAATTCCTGCACAAACCCCCTTCCTGATAGACTTGCCATAATGGAGCAGAGTTGCAGATCACGAAGGGGAATATTAATAATGAGTCTTCACATCAGAACCCACTAGACAGAGCCCCCAGCTGGCAGTACGTCAGCACTAATGGTGACCATTTCCTAACACTCCTGGGGACAAACCCATAAATGTAATTGGCACCAAGCAATGGAGCTGTCACAGCTTTTACGTGGTGCGTTAGGGCAAACTACTTTTATGTCTAAACCACTCGGCCTGAAAGCTTCCTCTAAGTACAGCCTGGAATTAATCTTGATCCACTATAATTCAAAGTACCATCAGATTTTCATTTCTCAGAGTGAAAGTGTGCCCACATTGGCATGTTTTATGGCCTTGTTTGAGCCTCGACAAGTGCTGGTTTGGCAGCGATATTTCAGAATCACCAAACCATGGGATGTTCTGCTAGGTAATTAGCCCAGGCCACTGGACTCCTTTGTGTTTTTTGACACATTCTGATGTTTTCAGAAAAGCATATGGCCCAAGGAGGGGACTTGGCTGTTCAGCTGCAACCTGCATGGGAAAGAATTGTTAAAAACCAACAAGGCTGGGCGCGGAGGCTCACGCCTGTAATCCCAGCAGTTTGGGAGGCCAACGTGGGCGGATCACCTGCCGTCAGGAATTCAAGACCAGCCTGGCCAATATGGTGAAACCCCGTCTCTACTTAAAATACAAAAAAAAAATTTTAAAAATGAGCTGGGCATGGTGGCAAGTGCCTGTAATCCCAGCTACATGGGTGGGTGAGGCAGGAGAATCACTTGAACTCGGGAGACGGAGGTTGCAGTGGGTCAAGACCACAGCGTTGTACTCCAGCATGGGCAACAAAAAAAAAACTCTGTCAAAAAAAATTAATTAAAAAAAAAAAAAAAAAACAAATAATGACGCTGTGGTCCCCAAAGCTTCTCAAACTACTGTGCACAAGAATCACTTGGGGTCTTGTGAAAATACAGTTCTGACTCAGGCCTTGGTGTGGCCTGATGCTGCAGTTTGACGAGCTCCCAGGTGCTGCTGCTGATGCTGGCCTACAGGCCACACTGAGGAGTGAAGTTGCAACATGTCATCCCTGGTTAAGAGCACAAACTCTAGACTGGGTGTGGTGGCTCATATCTGTGATCCCAGCACTCTGAGAGGCGAAGGCAGGAGGATTACTTGAGGCCAGGAGTTCGAAATCAGCCTGGCCAACACAGAGACCCTATCTCTAAAGAAAAAAAAAAAAATTAGCCAGGCATGGTGGTGCACACCTGTGGTCCCAGCTACTCTGGATGCTGAGGTGTGAGGATTGCATGAGTTCAGAAGTTCAAGGCTGCAACGAGCTATAATGGTGCGTGCCACTGCGCTTCAGCCTGGGCAACAGTGTGAGTTCCCGTCTCTAAAGTAAAACTGTATATAAAGATCTCCCCCAAAATGGAGAGATTGTGGCAACTCACTACCGTTCTGGTCTCCTGACTGTGTGACATCCTCCGATGCCGCTTCTGTTAATCCCGGAACTTCATCCATCTAGCCTCTCTGCCGCAGTCAAGCAACAGCCCAGAGCAACAAAGAAAGGAGGAAGCCGCCGGCCCACTCCTGCCCTAGCTCACCTGCTCCGTGGCTGGCATGTTGTCCAACTACTCTGCTTAGCTGATCACGTTCCTTCATGAAATTGCCATGGTTTTGTACGTGCATGTCAGGAACCTGTTCTTTTCTGTTTGCTGCAGGAGCTCTGGAAGATTGTTGCAGAACCAGTAACATGACCCATTGCCTCCACAAGGCACGGCATCTTGACTGTTCTTATAGTAGATTTCTATTAAAATCAGAAGCTCACCAAAGCAACGTGCTTGAGATTTGTCATTTTTAAAATATGGTTACATGGACCTTAGACGATCCAAGATGGTTTTCTAGGGTGTGTCCCTGCCTCCCAGTCGAAGCCAGAGAAGGTTGTTGCTGTGGGCTGGGGGTCCCCTTAGTTATCTGTTTCTCATCCTTGTAATGTGGGCTCCAGGGTCAGGCTGAGCAAGGTTGGTTCTCAGCTCATTTCCACCCAACTCAGTCATTTCATCTCTGCCCTTCACTTGGGGTTGTGGCCCTGGCTGTGAGGTAGATTCTTGTACTGCCCTCTGCCGCTGTTTACAGATGGGTTAACTACCATTTCCACAGTTGCCATCACATCACCTCTCGGCACAAAAGCCTCACTTCCTCCCGGTGTTGGGTATGCTCCGCCCCATCCCTCCAGTGAGGGCCCCAGGAGGAGAGGAAGGGGCAGGAGCTGGTGCCAGGAGTAGACTGGCATTGGCCTTTGTATATCATTTTAACTCTTTATAACCCAAATCAGGTATGTTTAGAATAAGCCTAAGAGCCACTCTTTGGGGTCACATGCAGCCAACTGGGGTTTGGGCAGTGATCTTCCTCAGAGGTGTTCCCTTCAGCCTGCGCTCATTTTCCCTCCTTCCGTCTTAAATCACATGTGCATGTGTCTGTCTGGTTTTTATCTTCTCCACCTGTGACTGTCTCCTCCCATCCACACACCTTCCTGTCATCCTCTATGTCCCACTGTCTTTCTCCTTCTCTCCGGTTTTGGTTCCGTCTTCCTGCTACCCTTGGCCTTCCTACAGCCCCTTCCCCCTGCCTTGCTCCTGCCGCGTTCTGCGCCAGGACCTGGCCCGGCCCCATTCCACCTTCCCTCGCAGCTCAGGTTTCCTGGCTTCTCCATGCACCGTCCCTGCCCGCGCTGTCCCAAGCACCCAGGTTTCGTCCCCAGGGCCCATCATACCCCTGGCATGTGCGAATCCCTGACGTCAAGGGCCAGGCACTTGCAAGTCTAACTTGATTTCATCTTCCCAACAAATTTAGGAGGTCCGCAGCCTCGTTATACCCACATTACAGTGGAGAAGACTGAGGTCCATGCAGGAAGAAGTCTCCATGAGGTCAGAGACCTTGTTTGTCTTAAATATCACTACATCCCTGGCGTATAGTTTGGCAAACATTCGACGCTGAGCATATGTTGCTGAATGATTTACTAATGTAAGCTACTAATCAGGGCATTACTTCCCATATGTGGGTGATTTTGCCTCCGGGAACACTTGGCAATGCCTGGAGACTTTTTTGGTGGTCACAAGTAGGAGAGATGGGTGCCACCCGTATCCAGCGGGTGAGGCCGGGGATGCTGCTCAACTTCCTATAATGCGGTAAGGCACAAAACAGCACCCACAACACAAAATGATCCAGCCCAAAATGTGACTGGTGCCATGGCAGAGAAATCCTGACTTGGAAGAAGAAAGCCAACTACTTCAGGGAAGAAAAATGGGTCTCAGCTGAACCTGTATTGCAGAGCATGCAGGTGACCCTCACCCTGCCCCTCTGGGAGCAAGAAGAAAACCTACACATGTATGTTACCATAAAGCTTCCAAAGAACCTACAAGGCAGAAGTGATCCCTATTTTATATATGAGAAATCCAAAATTCAGAGAGGTAAAGCAACTTGCCCAACATCACACAGCCACCAATGGATAAGTTAGGTTGAAAGCCCATGTCCACCCATGTCCATCTGACTCCTAGGCCTGTGCTTGTCCCACATTCCCACTGTGTAGTCCCTGGACCAGGAGCAGCGTCTGTGGTGGCACCTACATGCTCGTTAGAAATGCAACATGAGACTGGGCGTGTTGGCTCACTCCTGCAATCCTAATACTTTGGGAGGCCAAGGCAGGGGATCAATTGAGGCCAGGAGTTTAACCTGCCTGGACAATACAGCAAGACCCCATCTCTACCAAAAATTACCCAATTAGCTTTGCATGGTGGTGTGTGCCTGTAATCCACCTACTTGGGAGGCTGAGGCAGGAGAATTGCTTAAAGCTGGGAGACGAACGTTGCAGTGAGCCAAGATCGTGCCACTGCACTCCAGCCTGGGTGACAGAGCAAGACTCTGCCTAAAAATAAATAAATAAATAAAAAATAAAAAGCCAGATAAGGGTCTGGGTGTGGTGGCTGACGCCTGTAATCCCAGCACTTTGGGAGGCGGAGGCAGGTGGATCACCTGAAGTCAGGAGTTCAAGACCAGTCTGGCCAATATGTTGAAACCTTGCCTGTACTAAAAATGCAGTATCGCCGGGCGCGGTGGCTCACGCCTGTAATCCCAGCACTTTGGGAGGCCGAGTCGGGCGGATCACGAGGTCAAGAGATCGAGACCATGGTGAAACCCCGTCTCTACTAAAAAAAATACAAAAATTAGCTGGGCGTGGTGGCGCTTGCCTGTGGTCCCAGCTACTCGGGAGGCTGAGGCAGGAGAATTGCTTGAACCCAGGAGGCGGAGGCTGCAGTGAGCCAAGATTGCATCACTGCACTCCAACCTGGCACCTGGTGACAGAGCAAGACTCTGTCTAAAAAAAAAAAAAATGCAGTATCAGCTGGGTGTGATGGTGCATGCCTATAATCCCATCTACTTGAGAGACTAAGGCAGGAGAATCACTTGAACTGGGAGGCAGAGGTTGCAGTGAGCCGAGATCATGCCATTACACTCTAGCCTGGGCAAAAAAAAAAAAAAAAAATGCCAGGCATAGTGGCACACACCTGTACTCCCAGCTGCTCAGGAGGCAAGATGAGAGGTTTGCTTGAGCCTAAGAATTTGAGGCTACAGTGAGCCATGTCTGCACCATTGCCCTCTGGCCTGAGCAACAGAGAGAGAGATCCTATCTCCAATAAAGGAAAAAAGCACCAGGCCTCAGCCCAGGACCTACCTGATTCCGAATCTGCATCTTGACAGGACACCAGGTGATGTGTTTGAATAGTAGTTTGGGAAGCTCTGGGGCCTACCACATAACCCTATTGCCCCAGCCTATTGCTGTTTTCTAAAATTCCTGCACAAACCCCCTTCCTGATAGACTTGCCATAATGGAGCAGAGTTGCAGATCATGAAGGGGAATATTAATAATGAGTCTTCACATCAGAACCCACTAGACAGAGCCCCCAGCTGGCAGTACGTCAGCACTAATGGTGACCATTTCCTAACACTCCTGGGGACAAACCCATAAATGTAATTGGCACCAAGCAATGGAGCTGTCACAGCTTTTACGTGGTGCGTTAGGGCAAACTACTTTTATGTCTAAACCACTCGGCCTGAAAGCTTCCTCTAAGTACAGCCTGGAATTAATCTTGATCCACTATAATTCAAAGTACCATCAGATTTTCATTTCTCAGAGTGAAAGTGTGCCCACATTGGCATGTTTTATGGCCTTGTTTGAGCCTCGACAAGTGCTGGTTTGGCAGCGATATTTCAGAATCACCAAACCATGGGATGTTCTGCTAGGTAATTAGCCCAGGCCACTGGACTCCTTTGTGTTTTTTGACACATTCTAATGTTTTCAGAAAAGCATATGGCCCAAGGAGGGGACTTGGCTGTTCAGCTGCAACCTGCATGGGAAAGAATTGTTAAAAACCAACAAGGCTGGGCGCGGAGGCTCACGCCTGTAATCCCAGCAGTTTGGGAGGCCAACGTGGGCGGATCACCTGCCGTCAGGAATTCAAGACCAGCCTGGCCAATATGGTGAAACCCCGTCTCTACTTAAAATACAAAAAAAAAATTTTAAAAATGAGCTGGGCATGGTGGCAAGTGCCTGTAATCCCAGCTACATGGGTGGGTGAGGCAGGAGAATCACTTGAACTCGGGAGACGGAGGTTGCAGTGGGTCAAGACCACAGCGTTGTACTCCAGCATGGGCAACAAAAAAAAAACTCTGTCAAAAAAAATTAATTAAAAAAAAAAAAAAAAAACAAATAATGACGCTGTGGTCCCCAAAGCTTCTCAAACTACTGTGCACAAGAATCACTTGGGGTCTTGTGAAAATACAGTTCTGACTCAGGCCTTGGTGTGGCCTGATGCTGCAGTTTGACGAGCTCCCAGGTGCTGCTGCTGATGCTGGCCTACAGGCCACACTGAGGAGTGAAGTTGCAACATGTCATCCCTGGTTAAGAGCACAAACTCTAGACTGGGTGTGGTGGCTCATATCTGTGATCCCAGCACTCTGAGAGGCGAAGGCAGGAGGATTACTTGAGGCCAGGAGTTCGAAATCAGCCTGGCCAACACAGAGACCCTATCTCTAAAGAAAAAAAAAAAAAAAATTAGCCAGGTGTGGTGGCATGCACCTGTACTCCCAGCTACTCAGGAGGCTGAGGTGGGAGGATCGCCTGAGCAAAGCAGTTCTAGGCTGCAGTGAACTGTGATTGTGCCACTGTACTGCAGCCTCACTGCCTCACAGAGTCAAACCCTATTTCTAAAGAAAAACGAAAAACACCACTCTGGAGTTGAGCAAGCCAGCGTTGAAATCCTGCCTCTGCTGTGTACTACCAGCAATGACCTTGGACGCATGACCTAGCCTCTCCCAGCCTGAGTTTCCTCACCTGTGAAACAGTAAAACTTCTTGACAGGTTGGTGAATGGGTACAAACTTAGAAGAAACACCTTCTAGTGTTTGATAGCAGACTAGGTTGGCCACTGTTAGCAGCAATATATTGTGTATTTCAAAGTTGCTGGAAGAGAGAACTTGAAATGTTCCCAACACGTAGAAATGATAAATTATCAAGGTGGTAGATACCTCAAGTACCCTGGCTTGATAATTACTGTGCATATAAAACACATGCACCCTGTAATATGTAAAATTTTATTTATCAATAAATGGAAAAAGGCCGCATGTGGTGGCTCACGCCTGTAATCCCAGCACTTTGGGAGGCTGAGGCGGGTGGATCACAAGGTCAAAAGTTCAAGACCAGTCTGGCCAACATGGTGAAACCCCGTCTGTACTAAAACTAAAAAATTAAGACAAGTGTGGTGGTGGGCACCTGTAATG